AAAATGCGCAAAGCTTTAAATTTTTAAAGTTCGATGTTTTTAAAGTTTTAGTGAAGGGCAACTACCCAAAGTGCTGTTTGCACGAGCTAGGCATGCGCGGAAAAAAAACAAGAGTTGGCCCTAGCGTCCGATAAAAGTGAAGCACGCTTTTTCCTCACTCGTAGTAATTTTTCAGTCAGTTGAAATTCGCTGAGTATCAGGAATCACTTGAAGCCTCGATATCGATCCCTCACCAGCGTCGACAAGTAATGGCCGTAAAAAACTGGGACTGGGGGAGTCACTTCATCGTCGTTGATCAGCTGGCGGTTGACAGCCTGTTGGCTGTTGCCCAGGCGCAGCACGTTCATAAGAGCAGTCGCCCTGGCACAGCTCCTCGGACTGCAGCATCTGCGTCACCGTTGGGCCTTTCTAAAATGGCGGTTTAGGCACGTAAATCCAAGGTATACCTGATTCTGCGCGGCGAGTTGATGGCGAAGACGCGGGTCTTCATAGACGCGCGTCCAGTAGTCCCAGCCATCATCGGCCTCGCGCACGCCAACGTCAACCATCTGAAATTAGCATAATCTCGAATAATCCTAAGAAAACGAACCTGAAGCAGACGTCAGCTTCGGGTTTGGGAGGCGGATGAAATGGCATGGAATTCCAGGGCTTTTGAGAGCGGAAACCAATGCAAATCGTTTCGACATCCGGATTCATTCCTGAAAAAAGACTGAATTATTCAAAGCGGAAAGAGAAATTTGTAAAAAGAAGAAGCAAGAGTTTGCAGTTTCGGGTTTTGCAAGCAAGTTTTCCTTTGCGCCTCTCGCCGGCCCTGCGCGTCCAGAGTAGCGCCCCGTTCTTTTACGCGAGCTATTTACGGCTGAATCAGATGACGGAAAAAAGACAGCGGAATGCGATGGAATGTTTTCTTTTTGTTGTTTTGTGCTTTTTGTTTTTTGGCATCTTTGTTAGCGGCATGGAACCGGGAATCCGTAGAAATTGGTCGTGTTTTGAAAAGATCAATTCCAACTCGCTCCAAATCATGCATTTACAAACCAATTTTCCGCGATTTCTAGGCGTTTGCCGTATTCTAGACTGAAAACCGTCGCCCACAAAATTCTTGACAGCCTAGTCGCCCCGAACTTGAAAACAAATATTTAGCCCTTTTTTCACTGACCCCGTGATCTACATGATTTGCCGCCTCTAGAATAATTTTTTTCGAAGTCGAAGAACCATGCTTTCCACTGCGCGAACGTCAATTGATCGGCGCCGCTGCAGCAGTGGGGGTTGATGTCATTGTATTTGCCGCAAGGGTACGAAAGTGGTGTGCACCAATAAACAAGAGACACACCGGGTTTTGGGGAGACGCAGACGACACACCATGGCCGAGCCCGAAACCCCATCAATGCGCCCCATTTCCACCCCTCTGCCGTTATTGTCTTTTTGGGGATCTTGATCTCAGTTTTTTACATTTGGTCGTGAAATAGAGTTGTTGTCTTGACAAGAATGTTGATCTTTATCCACTAACGCCTGGGATACCTCAAGCTATTCTACGCAGAATTTCCTAGTTTCGAAACTGCTGCCGATTGGCTACAATCCGGCTGATTTCCGGCGGTGGCACCTCGAATCCCATCTTTTTACTGTTCTTATCATGGCGATAGCAATTATGCTCAAGTGATCAGTAGGAACAACTGTATTGTAAATCGTTCGGCGATCCAACTTCCGCTTCTCGCGCTTTTTTCGAATTTACTAATCACATTTTGGGGATCTACACCTTTCTCTTCACCCTTATCTCTCTGGCTTCACAAGGGCTGTGCTTGATACTACGTAATAGCAACATATCTCGCGTCTTGACGTTTTTGAGTCTCACCACCAATGTTATATCGACCAGTTTGTGGTATTACCGCAATTTGTGCTCTCAATTTTTCTGGAACTGCGTCGTCTCTAGCCTTCAAAATATATACTTTTCTCAGTTCTCAGCTCTCAATTTTGCCCAATTTTCAGGCGGAAACTTGGGTAAATGTTGCACACCTGGGTGAACCCCATACAGGAGAGGCAAAACCATCGGGTGAGTCAGTTCTCATGTCGGTTTTGAACCTTTATTTAGGAGCAGCTCGACGAGCTGGACGAGGTGCTCGACGCCTTCAAGCACAAGTTGTCCTGGGCCGAGGAGAAGGCGCTGATGGCCGCCAACAACGTGTGCCTACTGGCACTCGTCGCAGCAAGGAATGGCAGCACGTCTACGGTGTGTTTTGCGCACTTTAAGCCCGATTTTTGGACCTTATTGTTATTTATAACAACTTATAAACTCTCAAGTTTAGAACGACGACATCATGGCCGATTTCGCCTACTTTGGTCGGCCCCTGGACTGCAAGACATGTGGACAGATAGTCGTTTGGAGGTAGAATTTCATATGGATGCTTTCGTATTATCGGGCGGCGACAAGGTTTTTTTCTTGTGGTGCAATTTTTTAAATATGTTTATCGGAAGTGTTTCTAAGCTTTTTTTACTCGTCCTAAACGCAAAAATCTGCAATTGTGTAGAAAAATAATCGGTTTTTCGACCAACATGCCCTTTTTGTGACCAAAATTTCGGCTTTAAAATTATCGAAAAGTTTTTAGATAGTTTTTCTAGCTTCAAATACAGTCTTATGTTACTAAAAACGGTATGAAAATATTGCCTGCCTATTCAGTTACTAGGCTATTCTAGATTTTATATTAATTTATATTAATTTATAAATTTTGGGCCCCCATATTGCGAAAAAACCTTGATATTAAATGAAATTGTTGTCTTTAGGGGTGACACTTATCGATGTGCCCGGAACTGCAAATCGTCTCTGAACCCGAAGAGGACTCCATTCATCGTCCCGCCAACCGTCGAGGCTACGTCAGGGTGGTTTGCCCTGCTTGTTAATGTTGGTTTTTAAACGCAACGTTCTGTTTCGGCACTAAATTAACGTTTTATCGAATTTTTTTAGCGCTCGAAGAGGCGCCTCTACGGCGACCGAAACTACCAACGAATGACGGGCCCTATATGGCCAAATACAGTGTCACCTGCTACCGTGGCGGTACTTTAATTCCGTGAAGATATTGGGGTTTTTTGTAGGCGGTTGATGCAGCCATAGCGGCCGGTATGGCCGGTGCGCTAACGAATGTTCCCATCCCCTTTGCGGCCGCGCATCAACCGTCCTCGTCGACTCCTGCCATGTTGCGGTTGCTGGGTGAGGAGGCCGAAGTTAAACTTAAAGTTTCGGGGGAAGGAGGAAATTTCTGATCCAATAACATCGGCCAGACTGGATCTATTTAAAATTGAGTAGATTTGAATTGGAAAGTATAAAGCCTGAACTTAGTTTCTGTCACAAGTTTGTTTCCTTGCACTTCCTAGGAACTGTTCAGATTTTTGATGTAGGAAAAATAACCCCCTTGGAGCTGTTACATTAGATAACTGGGTTAACTATTGAGTTTCGACATAGAACGTCGAAAAACGTATCATGTTCATCGATGAAGCATTATAATATGCTCACAGACTATGTGTTATGCACGCCAAAACTATATATTTTATGAATTTACGAAAAAAAAACTAAATAATTTTGAAATTCCAGCGCTGCCAGCCGGACCTGCTGTACCTCCTCCAGCGCCATCTACCCCTGGTCGAATCGTGCCCGCCAACCCACAGCTCCAACCCTCAGCCACGTCCACATCGCCTGCATCTGCATCCGTCGCATTTGTCGCCCCCGGCCCGGGCACCATTTCTCAAAGTATTTACGGGTTTCACGTTCCTTTTATCCCCCTTTTTTTAGCCATCAGCACGCCGACCCAGAGCGGTGCCGTGCAGTACGTCGCCTCCGGACTTCCGCCCACCACCACCAAGCCAGCGGCAGCGGCTAGTACCTCTGCCGGAACGTCGCCTGGCGTCCCTGGCGGCTTCCAACCGCCGCCCGGCCTCCCCGCGGCTTTTTGGAACGGCTTGGGCCTGCTCGCGCCGCCAACAAGTATTTATAATTTTTTTCAAAACCGTTTTTTAGCGTCGGCTGGCACTGCTGCTGCTCCTGGCCAACCGGCCGCCCCGCCACCGATCCCTGCCTCGTTCTTCACCAACTTGGGCTTGCCAGCGCCTCCAGCAGGTTCGGTTCGGAAGAGACATTTTTCGGGGCTCGAATTGGCTTTTGGCAGGGGAATCCAATCTGGACAATGTTTACTATCTAAAAACTAACATTTTTGAACGTATCCGCTTATTTTTTAGAAGTTTCACCTTGCGAAGCATCCACAAATTCGAGAAAATGCAAAAAAAAATCAATATTTTTGAACGTTTTTGCGCCTGGAAGCATCAAAATATCACAGAAAGATGGAAAGATCATAAAATTCGAGGAAACGGAATAAATGAACATTTTTTTGAACGCGTTATGCCTGGAAACGTACCAAATATCACGAAAACTTGGAAATATCCGAAAATTCGTGACAAGCGCCAAAAAACCGGCAACTATTTCCGGACTTTATCCATTTTCGGGGGAGGGGGCGGTAAGGCAGATAGGGCTTCCGAGATTTTTATGTGGCTACGTCCTTGAATAACGCGCTTCTTAGGCAACAGCAGCAGCATGTCCTTTCTGTATCATTCTCTCTATGGCCTCTCGCAGCAAGGTAAGCTTCTAACATTTTGAGACATTGTTGATTTTCAATTCTAGGCCCTACCTTTGCGGACTGCGTCTCGCTAGCCGGCGATCCGCTGCCGAGCCTGAAGGGACCTCCGCCGGGTAAAATTCATTTTAAAAATCAATTTATTTTTAGGATTACTCCCACCAGCTCGTAGCCAGAAATTGGGCAAAAATGTGGCCAGCGACTCGTCGGGAGCGCCAGGTTGGTCTCAGCGGCTTTTTCTGAGTTTGTTTTTAGTCTCGAAGACTCCGCGCATTGATGACGCTGATCGCCCGTCCAGTTCTGATGGTACTTTTTTTAGTAACTTGAGTGTTTGTTCTTTCACGTTATCGGGGGGGGGGGGGACATTTTTTTTGTACTAATCTAGAAATGCCTGGTGACTTAATAGGAAATATTTTTGATGTTTGAGTAAATTATACTATATTTTAGCTGGAAAAACTATCTAAAAGGCCGAAAAATTTCGTCAAGAACGACCATTTTGGTCAAAAATCGTTGTTTTTTTATATATTTTGCTAAAAATTTGTTAAGTTTTACGTTTAGAAATAGTAAAAGAAAGTTTAAAGACGCTTCCGTTATTTAGATTTAAAAAGGGATCCTTGGACAAAAAAAGCTGATCCCCCCGATAATGCGGAAGAACCTGAGAGTTTGTATTTTCTGAGCATTTCTGTAAAAAATTTTTCTTTGCAGGAATGGACTGGGACTGCTCTCCGCCTCCGGCGGTCGTTTGCGAGCCAATACTAGATGATCAAGGCAGGCGAATTTTGTGATTTTAAAAACTCTTTTCAGGCATCCCATTCCAAGCCACGCTGACCTCGGATTTTGCTGAAGATGCCGCGCCTACCTATATAAAGATCAAACTCATCAAGCATAAGAGATGCGAGAAGTGCGTTTTTTTACAAGAATCCAAGTAGTAGACGTTTTTAGCTACTGGCTAGTCAAGTCTTGGGGCCGCGTGAGCTCGCCGTGGGTGCAAGAGGGCGAAAATTGCAGGAACTTTGGCTCTTTGGATGATGCGACGGCCGGATTCAGAACGTACGCTTTTAGTCATTTTTTCATTTGTTTCTTTCAGATTATCCGGGGGGGGGACACGTTTTTTGGTATTAATCTAGACATGCTTGGTAACTTAATAGGAATTGTTTCCTTACTGTTTTTAGTAAAATATTTGAACTGTAAAAATATCTAAAAATTTTCAGAAAATTCGAAATGAAAATTTGCAAAATTCAGAAAGTTGCTCAAATAACGGCTATTTTTGGTCGAAAATGACATTATTTTTCGTATTTTTTTAAGTAAAAAAATAATGCCCCAGATAATGCGAAAGAACCTCATTTTTTATTGTATTGTTTTCAGCTTTTTCTACGAGAAGACCGGCAACAAGTGGGCCAACCGCGTCATCTTCGACAAGAAGCGCGACAAGATGAGCTACATGCCGGAGGAGACAGGCACGGATGTAAGTTGTTTTTATTGGAAGTCTTGTTAAATTCTAAAAATCCCGGCTTTTGAGAGCTCGATTTCCGCTTTAGAATTCGCTGGCCCGCTGCAAGTTGCGCGCGCCGGTGGCCGACCTGATACGGAAGGTGTTCAGCGAGGAATTTTTGAAGGAGCGCATGGTGGAATTCAAGGTTGGCGCCGTTTTATAGCAATATGAGGATGAAATTCAGATGTCGGCCAACCTGATGATGATGGACGGAAATACGAAGCACCGTATCTTGCTCGCCTACGAGACGCTGGACCGACTGCGCGAGGTATTTCCTATTTCCTATTTTCCTAGAAATTTATTTCCGACAATAAACACGTTTAAATAATTTTTTGCGTAATGAATTTCCGGATAGCATATCGTATTTTTTCTTTTTTCAGGCGGTTGAGCGCGAACAAACCAATGAGCGCAAAGCCCGCATCGAAAAAGACACGGCCGTCTTCTACGACCTGATCGCTCACATCGACCGCCCGCCGCTGAATACCCCGGAGCTTATCCAGGTAATATTTTTTGAGGAAATTCTGAAAATGCAGTATTTTTAGAAGAAGACTGACCAGCTCGCTGAACTCATTGAGCTTGCCGAGCTGCACGACATGATGACGCTGCACGGGGATTCGGGCCCCCGTCATATACTCGATCAGCTTTACGACCGGATGGGCGTCGAGATTATTGTAGGTTTTATGCTTTTCACAGGTTTTCGAATTTAAAATCACGTTTTAAAATTTTACGTTAGGTTTCGAGATTTCGACGTTTTCTCATTGATTGTGCTTTTTAAGATTAAATTTTTAAATAGATTTTTAAATTAAATTAATAATTATTAAATATTAAAATAAATGACATTTAAAATTATTAATAAATTAAATAGATTTGAAAGTGTTTTTAGCCGCTGGAACGCGAGAGCGCCGAGTTCAACACCGTGCAGCTGTACATGCAAGCCGGCCACTTCCATAATTCTTGTCAAATCTTGGAGGTAAGGATTTTGTGTAGATAAAATTATTCCATGTGGTAGGTGTTCTCGATTCGTCGCCCCACGGAGGAGCGCTTCTTCCGGCACGAAATTGGCAACCGGAAGCTGCTGTGGCACGGCTCGCAGCTCGTCAACTACTGCGGCATCTTCACCCAGGGCCTCCGCGTCGCCCCCAAGGAGGCAAAGCATGTAAGCGAGCAGGGGGGATTTTTAGCTTATTTCGGTGAATATTTTTTTGGTATTTAGAAACTTTCAATCAAAAACATATAAAACCCCCTCTAATAAAGTCATTCTAATAAAATTCTCGGTTCTTTCGCATTATCGGGGGGGGACAAAATTTCTGGGAACGCCTAGTAACTTAATTGGAAGTAGTTTCAAGACGTTTTTAGTAAAATAAAGCTATATTTTAACTGGAAAAGCTATCTAAAAAATTTGATAGTTTTGGAAAAGCGGTTTTGGTCCAAAATTTTTTGTTTTTCAATAACAATTTGTAGTTTTTACGTTTAGGAATAGCAAACCTATCTAAGCGAAAATACGGTATCTATATCTTCATTTAGACCGGCCACTCGTTTGGGATGGCCATCTACTTCTCGGATTCGTTCGACAAGTCGGTGCACTATTGCCGCGCTGGCCCCGGCGAGGAGGCGCTGATTCTGCTGTGCGAGGTGGCGCTCGGAAAGGTACACCTATTTCATATTTAGTTTAGTTTTTCGTTGTGAGCTGCTCGTTTTATGCCATAGGCGATGAATTTTTCAATTTTAAATACCAGATCCGATCGCACGGCGTCAGGGACTACTTATACGGTTCGGCCGGCGAATTCGACTCTTTTTTTGGTATGGATTTCATTATTTGATGTTTTATCAATTGTGCATTATTCTACAACTTTCTTTGTTGATATTTTAGTACTAATAATTTATTTATTAATAACAATAAGTATTTTATTTGTTTTTCGTTTAGTTGCCGGCACGGCATCGCCTGACCCGGCTTGCGACGTGCTCCACAACGATGGCTACATCATCCCGGTCGGCCCGCTGAAGTCCGCGGTGCCCCTTGTGGGGTCTCTTTACAACGAGTAGGTTTTTTGTAGTTATTTTTAGGTACTGGATCGTTAGCCGGGGGGGCAGGCAAGATTTTAGCGGGCAATGAAAACCAAGTTGATTTTTTTAGTTTATTTGCATGTAGTGTAGTTTTTAGTGTATTTTTGCCACCAACAACTATTTTTGTGACGTTTAAAAACGGATTTTCGAGCATTTTTGGACAGAAAAGTCGTATAAAATTAATTTTTACAGTTAAAGAACGGAATTTTTAAAGCTTAAAAATAGGATTCATGATTTTTAAAAGTTTCCGAACGTTCCTAATTATGTTTCTATACCTAAAAATCTAAGACCACTTCACTGATTGCAATTTCATTATTCTACCCCCCCCGGTAACGCTCCAGTCCCTCTTTTGCTTTCAAAATATCGTCAATTTTCAATAACTCCTTTTTTTCCAGGTACCTGGTCACCCAAACCGACCAGGTCCGCCTGCGCTACATCATGCGACTGAGGGTGACCGAGGATTGTCACCCGTTCTAATTACCTCCCACAAATTTGCTGTATTTAAATGCGCTTCTTTTCTCGCTGTTCCCGTTAGCTTCCAATTATAATTTATCATTATTTGCATGGCATTTTTCTCTTCGATAGCATGTATTAAATTATATACCTCCCCCAACTTATCGTGTTACACGTTTTACGCCCTGTTTTGGGCTGGCCCCTTCTCGTCAGGTAGCATGTCAAACCTGCCGCACCCGATAGCCACGATTTAGAGCATACTTAATCCTATTCAGGGCCTCACCTCACTGCAATTTCATCTCGTACAAATCCTTAGTTCAATTGGTACTACGTTTTCCGTTTCCGGGCCGTCACAAGGCTTGAGATATGTTATTCGTCTCACGTTTCAATAAAGTTCTCGGTATAACGCTCCCGCAAAATACAAACAAATGATGGCGGTAACAGGATATCCCTTACATATCGGCAGAAACAAGAATTTGAAGTGGATTCGATGGATGTTTCTAAATATTAAAATATTTTTTGATTAATTCTTGATGCTTGTCCGAATAGGTGGCGTGTCCGGTTGCCAGGGCACCTCGGGTTGCGCCGTTTGGAGGGTGGGCGTGTCGCCGCCCAATCTTTGTCAATTTAAAATCTGATCTTTTGCTGGAAAATGAACTATAAATCTAGCCTGATCGCGAGGTTGACTCTTTATTTTAGGATTTGATAAACGCGCGCAAAAATGGTTGTATATTTCGCGAAATGGCTTATTCAGGCCACGGCACTTGCCGAAAACGCGGATTTTTGTATCCAAGAAGCTAAATAAAGGCCATAAATGGATTCAGCAGGAAAAACTTGCTGGGTTTAGTGTTTTTAGTCAGTTTTAGTGGAAAAACCGGGTTTTTTGATCCCGTGAAATTCGTGATTTGAAACGACGATGTTTTTATAAACACTTTTTTAGGTAAAATGGCGACCCCTCCCGGTCGACCCCGGTCGGACTCGGTCGCCTCGGAGCGGATGACCGACAGTCAGGAGATGGTCGCGAAATATCACCAGGTAAGCACAAGTTGCTCTAAAGAAATTTGAATGTTGGAAAAATTGATCCAGATATAAAATTTCAAGAAATCGACGCTATAGAGATGGATTTACGTTAAAAATCATGTTTTTTAGTCCCAAGACTACCACCTCCACGCCCTGCACGTCGCCATCCGGACCAAGCTGCAGCAGCCGCAAATCCTCAACCTGTGCCACTGGAACAACGCCGACCTCGGCGTCACCGAGAAGGAGATTGAGAAATCGGTGAGCAGGATAAATTTGATGTAGGAATGAGATCCAGCTTTTTTGCAAAATTTTTTGAAGTGACGCTTTAAATTTTGATCTTAGGTTTAATAGAAAAATTATCGGTTTTTTTCGCATTCTCGGGGGGGTGGGGGGAGGGCAACTTTTTTCTAAGGATCTTTTGCTAATATAAATAGAGTGAGTGTTTCAAATCTGGTTTCGCTTGGCCTAAGTGAAAAAGTGTTGCAAATTTCGAATAAAAAACACAAATAATCACGATTTTTCGACCAAGTCGGGCCGCTTTTCAATCAAAATTAAATTTCCGAAAAAACGCTATTTAAGCACTTTATTATTCTACTAGACATTTCTGGACTTACAGGAAAAAAGATTTGACTCCTCCCCCCGATAATGCAAAAGAACCAAATGATCAATTTGACGAGTGTTGTCTTGTTTTTCGTTGTGTTGCGCTGATAACCCGAACCTCTAGACCGCAAAACCTGGGCCGGGCAGGCTGAACCTAGACTACGGACTGGGCGCCCAAGGATTTTTCGATGTAATTTTTCGACAATTTTTCTAGAGCGGAATTAGGCAATGTCGCGGTTGAAGGACATGGCGCTGTTTGGGCGGCCGTTGCCCTGTAGACGGTGTGGCGGGCGAATTACGTGGAAGTACGTTTTTCACATGGGATTCCTTAATTTCGATTTAGTTTTGTCAACTACAAATGTATGGGGAAGGACTGCGAAGAGCTGTTCTGGAATCCGCCGCGAGCCCCGTTTTTTGTGCCCCCGAATTTGGCACGGATATTAGGAGATGATGTTCCGATAAATGTAAGGTTTTAGCGGCGATTTCGGACCTTTTTTGTTTCACTATTTTATGTATTTCACAGGTTCTTTCGCGTTATCGGGGGGGGGATCGAAATTTTTTTATGATTCTAGAAACGGCTAATAACATAATAGGAAGTATTTTTGTAGCGTTTTTAGTACAATAAGACTATATTTCAGGAAGAAAATATATTGAAAAATTTAAAGGTTTGAAAAATTCGAAATTTTGGTCGAAATTTTTTTTATATATTTTCCAATAAAAATTTGTAGTTTATGTCTAGAGGAGAAAAAAGTGTTAAAAAAACACTTCCCCAGTTATATCCTTACAAATTCGATCCAAAGAAAAAAGCTGGTTTGCCCGGATAACGCCCCCGCCCCGATAACGCAGAAGAACTGCTGCCGTTTTTCGTGAAATATTTGTTAAAATCTTCTTTCTTTAAATCCAATATACGTACAGTACCTTAGTTTACAGTTTTACAGTCCGTATATTGATGCTGTTTTGCTTATAACGCAGCGTTTTTAACTACGAAATTTCAGTGTATGGGCCGGCGGTACTACATGACGGATGAGTTCATGGACGCGCAACGCCTTGAGCAGGGCTCCCTGTGGACAATTGACGAGATTGATGATGGTGAGTTCTATTGGCTTCGCGGGATGGAGGCCCTTTTAAATGGAGAGCAATTTTTAGCGGGCATCCAACGGGTCGGGCCGAGCTGGGAGCAAGAGTTCTACTTTCTCTACCAGACGGACATGATGGCCGATAGCGAAGGTGGGGTTTTAGGTTGATCGGCGCGAAATTTGGGGTGGAAATAATTATTTTCAAGTTTCAGGCGACTTCTACATCGCTCCACTTTTCAAACTTACCTCCAAGGACAAAGAGCACAGCGCCGAGTTCATCTGCATAGAGCTGCGCCGACATTATCGAGAACAGAGGTTTTTCGTTACTTTGGACCTGTAAACTCCTCTTTTTAGATGGTTCTTCATCAAAACCTGGGGCCACTACCAGGCGCAGAAGGAGCGCGAGTGCGTCTACGAGTTCGAGACACCGCAGGCGGCCATTAAGCATTTTCATAGGTTGCTATTTTGCGTGGATTCTCATTATTTATTGATTTTAGTAGTTTCCTACGACAAACCGGGAATCATTGGAGGGACCGGAAGAGTTTCGAGAAGAAAGAGGACAAGCTCGAATACGCGCCGCCGGAACAGGTAATCAGCGTTTAAAAATATAAAATAGAGGGTTAATAAATTCGAATTACCGAAAATTTATCATTTACGTTAGAAACCAACGATATTTTGTTTAATAAAAATGAAAATGTTAAATACGTATTTTCCAGATGCCCCCAATCACCAAATCCGGCCTCCACCCCTGGGTGGTCGACCTGTTCCGCTGGGTTTTTGACGAGCACCGGATGAAGATGCTGCTCGGCAGGATCGGGATCAACACGAGAAAAATGCCGCGAGTCGCCCTGACCGGCATCAACATGGAGGTGGCCGCCGGGTGCTTGGAGCGAATTCGAGATGTATGACGTTTTCTGACCTTGTTTTACCCTTGATTTTAGGCCGTCGACGAGAACGACGAGGACTCGCACACCGAACTGATCGAAGCTGACCAGCGCCTCTTCTACGGGATTCTGCCCTACGTCAACAAGTTAAATCTGTTCGACGAGGAGAGCCTGGACACGGTAAAATGATTTGCCATCATGATGTCGAGGTTTAAAATCCCGAAATTTCATAATGTCGAAAACTCAGATTGTCGAAATTCCGAACGTCGAAAGCTGAGAATGCCGAAATTTCTTTTCGAGTTTCGGATCGAATCTGGGTTTTTTTTGAGAGATTGCTTATGTAGATCGTAATGTTCAATTTCAAAATGTTGAAATTTCGAAAATCAAATGAAATGTCGCTAGGATTAGATTTCGACATTCTCGAATTTCGACATTCTGAAATGCCGACATTATAAATTTTCGATATTATGAAAATAGCCCCGATGGAATTGGGTATTGGAGTGTTACGGAGTTTTTTTTTCTAGATGATTGAGCGGATGCGGCCACTGCGCGAGCTCGGCATTATGAACAAAATAATGATGAGCTGCCGGTACGACTATGGCGTCAATCCGCTGGACGCGTTGAGGATGAAGGCCGGTCCGGATATCAAGTTACGGGTGCGAACTTTTAAATTTATTTATATATATATTTTTTGACAGTTGACCAAGCTTTAACTTTAGACCTAAATTATTGAATAAGTATGAATTTCACATTTAATTTTGCAGAAACGTTACTTAAAATTCTATAAAGCGGAAATTCTACACGAACAAACTTTTCAGATACTCGACCGCGCAAAAGACGAATATCGCCAGGTGAAGGCGTTCATCGAGAAGAGCATGCCGGAAGACAAAGCGAGGGTTATGGATGTCGGTGTTTTGTTTACGATTTTACTATCCTTATTTTAGGTGATCGGCTTCGAGAAACGGGCCGAGACGGACCCCTACCAACGGCACGTAGCGAACAGGACGGTGTTGATGCACGCCACCAGCTTCTCCCATTTCGGCACCGTCCTGCTGTCCGGACTCCGGTTTCCACAGTGGGGAATTGTGAGTTATATTTTATAATACCAATATTAAAGATTGCAAGTAAATCTTAAGTATTTGTAGTGTCTTTAGTAAAATTTGGCCTAATTTAACCCGGAAAAATGTTTGTACGTCTAGAAAATTTGAAATTTTGGACGATTTGGCGACTTTATACAATGAAAAATCCAATTTTCTTTAATAAAAATTTGGAATTTTTGAAATTTTGAAAGAGTAAATCAAAGAAAGAAAGAAAAACATTCCCCTCCATTGTATGGGAAAAATT